CAACGCATCCCCTCAAGTCGCAAACAAACTGCGTTTCCAAGTCGCTGCGCAATGTCCTTGCACGTGACGGGGCCACACTGGGACCCAATTACTCTCGGTGACGGCGCCGCACGGCGCCGCACTCAACAGCAAAATCAATCGTAACATGAGGCTGGAGAAAAAAAAAACATGACACTTGGAAAGCACAACGGGTGTCTCGTCCGCCATCCACGCAAATTCGATCCTCCAACACGTGGACAATTTGACTCTTTCAATTTGGAACTCCCTCCGCAGGCTCCTCGTAGCCTGCGCTTTGTGCTAGTTCCTCGGCTCGTTGCCCCGTGGACAAATTCCGCCGCTCAGCATCCGCTCGGGACCTGGGGCGGTGGCGTGCACCGACCAAGTGAGGTTTGGCATCAAAAGAGAAAAACACAGACGCAGAAACACACCCAAGTTCCAAAAGACTTCATTGAACCACCCCAGCACAAGCTTGAAGTGGAACCAATTTCTTAGTAGTCTGCTATGCGTCTCTTGTTCCATGAACCTGTCTGTGTCCTCAACCCATGGGTAGTCATAGTCATCACAAGGAGAAGGAACAAAACCGAACAAAACACATGTTTCTGGATGTTTCTGGCCAATTGGCACTAACGGAGATGGCACACCGACCCCCCAAAGAAACCGACCCTTCACATGTCCCCGTGAAGAGGCTGAAGGAGCGACAGGCAAAGTTCACGGTCGCCCAAGCAAGCGGCTTCCTGGTGGGCCACTGGCCGCGGTCCAAAGCAATGGACGGGCCCAAGGCAATCCGCAAATAACGGTACTTAAGGTGTATTGACGTATATATGTATGATGTTCCAACGTCCTTTACACACGTGTTTGACATTCACATGTTGCATCCTGAACAATCGATAAGGAGGGAATACTTTGATAAGGAGGGAATACTTCAAAATTAATCGGAAATTATTCACTCTCCCTGAACGTCTATTTGTGTTCGCCCCAGGTGTTTTGTTATTTGTTCAATCAGGATTTAATGAACCTACCACCACCACAAGCACCACCACCACCTCTACCACCTCCGAGGTCTACTATGGCGATGACGGCGGCAGCTGCTGCGTTTAGATATATACTATATTGTTTTGGGGTAACAAACACCTCAATCGTTTGGAGGGGGGGCGGGGAGGTTGCGCAGCAACGGAGGCAGAAAGCGTCACAACGGATGCAGAAAGCACACCACAAAAGCAGCCGGTTCAGAAACGTACTGCCTCCCACGGTGGCTTCACTGCGCATATGGTTTTCGCTTTGCGAGACAAACAGAAAACTGCCCAAGTGTAACAACCTTGCGCCTTAAAGCAGCTGAGCTCCATGCAAATTTACTGACATGAATTTCTGGCACGCCCTGCTTTCCCCCATGCAACAACACCCCAAAAAAATGATGCAAAATAAAAAAGCAAACACCCCTGCAAATGGCAAGGCAGCGCGGCAGCACCATCAAAACACCGTACCAAGGGCGCATGACTTGTCAAGGAGGAGGAAGTCCAAGCAGCGAAGCTATTTTTTTCCGTATACTGTAGCTTGTCAAGATTCATTTGGGTTGAGCACTTGTCTGTAGGCAATGACTAGTTATACTCAGCGGGAGAAAGAGCAAAGCCACCAAAGAAACGCGTCCGGCGTTTCTGTCCCCACGCGTCCGGGTTACAAAGTGGCACTCAGCACCGAAAAAAGGGTTCCAAGGCGGCATTCTGAACACAACCCCTTCCAATAGATGTTTACACCGGCAAGCTAATGCACAGATTCTAAGTCTTTAACTTCACGATCGTGTTGGATTGGGTGTCGACACATCATCAACACGTCAGTCAGCATGTTCCCCCCACGTTTGTTTCCAAAGAAGCACTCCAACTTTCAGACCATGAACACTGAACAGGGACAGCAAAATGGGACAGGAACATCAAGTAACATCAAAACGAGACAGCAAAAGAACACCCAGAGAGGAGACAGCAAACATGAACATCAAATCAACGCTTCCAAGCTTCCATCAAGGGGGTCTCCCCCATAATGTCCCCACGGTTCACGTCCGCGCGCGCCCGGAGGAGCTCGCAAACAGCCTCGGAGGATCTCGCACAAAGCCGTGCGGTTGGGAGATCCAACAAACATATTCGTGACCCATAGAGTAAAAGGAGCAAAACCCTTTTCAGAAATGTATTGAATTGAATTCGGATACACAACTTCTTGGCCAGTCACGATTCGTTTAGTTGATGTGGCCAACAAGAAACTTCCAGAAATGTATCAACAAATAGTTGATGGCCGCTTGCAGTCTTCTGGCGTTTTTTTTCAGGGCCAACTCTTGATTTGAGACAAACTTTTGCAAGCTGACTGTATGTCTATAATCTATACCTCAACTGGGGATGTCCCCAAATGCATCATCGCGCCAGCCTGTGCAATGTCTCCAACCATTTGAAACTTTGGGTCTTCTCGGGTTGTTGCTGCTTTCCGTGAAACGGTCGGATGATCGTTTGTGTCTGTTGTTTTCTGTTGTTATATTTCTGTCGTTCTTTATGCCGTTCTTTCTCTTTTTCTGTCTGCCTCTCTCTCTCTCTCTTTGTCTGTCTGTCTGTCTGTCTGTCTGTCTGTCTGTCTGTCCGTCTCTCTCTCTCTCTCCATCACAACCTGTAAGTTGTACAATGCTGATTGTGTGACTTGGGGCTTGCTTGCTTACTTATACTTACTTGCCTGCTTGCTTTCAACCTTAAACAACTTGAAATACTGAATACCATCAGTTGAAGCTCAGTTCACTTCCCAACCCAGCTGAGACTCCGAGAGATTGGGTGCCGGCGAGCGGAGCAGGGACAGCAGCGGCGTCTCACCCATCGCGTTCACCTCATTGATATCATCCGGTGAATCCTCAGTTGTGGCAGCCCAGCCATACTGACTGCCACTTGTCGAGCATCGGCATTGTACCATTAGATACTATTAGAGTCTAGACATGTGTTGGACTCGATGGTGGACATCCTTTCGGTCAGATGGGGACCTGAACATATCTGAATACCAAGGAATAAGACTACAGGTCACTTAAAACCAACCCTAGAAAAAGTGAACAACTTGAATCCCTGCTTTAAGGATGCCTCGGACATCGGATTCCCATCCTACCGCGAGCCGGACAACAGGTCTTCTAGATGCGCGGCGGCGACGCGAAACACGTCCGGCGAATGCTACCGGTCAGGATGGAAAATGTATATAGACTCTTGATTAATAACCCCAGCCATTTGAATTGAAAATCCTCTGCATATGGGGGGTGTATTAATCAAGAGTCTACATTAATTCATGTTTGTTCTCTTAAAACAATCAATCCCAATCACCAAACCAACGGCCTCAGTCACTGAAGGGCACCAAGGACAACCAAAACCGCTTTCCGTGGGTGGTCGCTGGTCGCTCAAGTCTCACACATCTCCTTCAGCTTTCCGTTCGGCTCGTGGGCCAGCTGGTGCCTGGAATGGTTGGCGAATCATCACTCCGCAAGGAGTAGCGGAGCTGATGAAGTAGGCGAAAGGCGAAGCATGTCGGAGGAATCTTCGGACATCTGTCGGCAAGTTACAACTCTATAGCTGCAAGCTGCTGGGCAATGTCTTCCACCAAACCAGGGAGGGGATATGGTTCGACAATGCAATGCTCCACCACATGTGCAATATGATTTAAGTCGAACTTCTTCATGCAGAGTCCTTGAAAAGGTCATTGAGCCATAAGGCACTCTCTCTGTCCCAGAGTCCCAGAGCCTTCAATGGAAAGGGGCGAGCTCGCAAACTCAATGCTGGTGCCAACCCCTTGCAAACCCCTTGCGCAGCAAAAGCAAACCCAGGGGTTTGAAACAACTAAAGTCCTTCTATAGTGGTCCCCAAATAGATCGAAGCGATTTCCTATACATTGCTATAGTGAGGATCCACTTTCTCTCCATTCAGGAGGTCTAATATATAGTAAATATACCCGATCCTAGCATTGATCGAGTCGACTCGGGTTCTCCTAAGCAAGCGCCCCTGCTGAAAAACCGGTCGTTTCGGGAGAAAAACGCGACGCACCCGGCGCCGGCGGCCGAAGTCGAAGAGGCCAAGATGCAAAAGTGAGTTGCCTTCCTGGACCATCTGGTGGCTGAGGGAGCTGAACTACGAACTACACAAACACAAAACATGTGCTGGCTGAGGGACTCATGCCAGGGTTTGAGCAGCGTTAGATTCCACGTGGCAACAAGTTCTGGTTCATCTGCGTTGATTTGTTTATGGTGAAGGGGAGTAGTAGTTTGCTTCTTTGATTGCAGTGCCATTGAAGTCCTGATCTGCACTTGGTACACCTTGGTAGCTTCTTCTCATCCATTGAGCCACTGCTTCTCAACATGCCCGGGCACATGTACCATATATGGCACCGACACCGACTGACACCCCAAAGTACCATGCGACACAACCGAAGAGACGCGGCTGTTTCCACATCCGATCAATGTCGGTGGTCCATACGAACCCCCATTTGTTTAGGACATCTACTGTCATCTGTGCCATCTACTCTGAAACCACTGTACAAGGGCTGGATATATATATATATATATTATAGATACATATATATATATACCTGTGACATCATGAAAGTGGAGCATGGCCCCTTGGACTACATGGCCCCCTTGCACCATTTCCTCTCCACACAAAAGGGTTCCACTGAAAAGTGGAAGGCGACTTGGACTTGGAGTGCCAAAAGCATGAAACTCTCACCGACAGAGTCTCCACGAAATCCTACTCATGTCCACTCCGCACTGATGTCCACACATGTTGAGGAGGCATGCCATGGGCTATGGGTCGGGTCTGTCACCAAATTCCTATCAGTTCCATTGGCTCTGCTGAGTGCAGAGTGAAGGTCCATTGTTGGACTTCACGTAACATTTTGCAGGAAACGATGGAAGCCCTTCACCCCCCAAAAAAAATATTTCTGTGGTGTGGCCGCCCCCCAAAACGGCCACCCCCGGGCGAATTCGCCGCGTTGATTGCCGCCTCGTTGGGCACGTCTTGGCTTTCCACCGAGTTGGAGGTCACCCTCACCGCCACCTGCCCGGCACGTCGAGCTGGTGAGCCTCAAATGGCTGGCTTTAGTCTGGATGCCCCAGGACCAGGGCCTGAGGGGCGCCCCAGGGGCTGGGTTTCATGTACAATTTACAGTACATGTTTCATCGAGACGTCCTCCAGTTGGGCAAGTAAACAAGCAAAACTCTGCCATTCAAAATGGTCAATACATGTCAATACTCCAACGTATGATTCCCACCTCTCGTCAAAGACCAATCCTGTTTCTTCCCACAAATCCCAATGTATGTATGGAGACATTCAGCGAGTACCTCTGAACATCACCTTGAGTAAAGAATAGACCACCTGGCACGCCCAACAACTACAGGTCATATAATGTGTAAATATGATAAGAAGCGCAAGCGTCTCGCACTACTGATGTTAGGACTTCGTGATATATCCAATGCCCCAAATCCTCTTGCCAAAAATGCGCTGAACCATGCTGAGCCCAACCCTCTTCAACTGTCCATGTCCAACATTCCAGCTGGTGACTCCCTCCGTCCTCGATGCTGCCGCTAAACACACGGGTGACCGCGGCGGTGACCACCACCTTGGCGATGAGCCGTTGAGTCACGTCCATTCACGTCCCGTGTCAGGCCCGCCAATTCGAGAATCAACACCATATATGATGTACATGCCTGTCGTCATATTCTTGAGGGTTCATGATTTTGAGGATCCTTCTGACCAATCACTTCTATGCAAAGGCCACCTCTTGGCAGTCCGCATCATACCTTTCTCAGTATATACGGGTTCCATACGATCCCTACAATATCCTACAATAGTCAATAGCAATAGCTTATGGGCTCAGTGTCCAGAATGATAGGTCGGACATTGCAAGTCTGAGGCACAGGGTTGATAGCGATCTGCAATCAGAGTGAACCTGAACCACCCAACCATTTTAAATTTCAATGATGTGACCGGTGCTCAGGAGTATCTTTTCAGTGAGACTAATCTGGGTCAACATATGTGAAACATTGAACACATTGGATATCATTGGATACCACAGCAGCAACAACAACACCAACAACCACAGCAACTACAATGACAACATGATGATGTCAAAACCAAGTCTGCTATGTTAAACTGGCAACTTGAACTTTTAACTTGTCAACCAGTTGACTCCACAATGTTGAAGTCTTCACTGATATTGGCAGCTGTTAGCACGACCGGCTTCCTGTGGAGCCATCGAAAAAGATCTGATACGGGGTTTTGGAAAAGTCCAGCCTTCAAAATATGCAAAAACAATCCCACACCAATAAAATCCAGCCAAACCTCTCGGACAGCTAGGTCTGTGTGATATGTTTTTTCCGTGACATGATGCTGGATGAGTTTAAAGCCCGGTTGCCGCACCTTTCCTTCATCTCAAACGCCACTGTCTATCCATTTCTTACCCAAATATCAAGGGCACCAGGACGGTTTTGCTACAACAGTGCTGGCTTCATCTAGCTCCATCGTCATCTATGTATATATATATAGTACTATATATATAAACCGAGAGAGATTCTCATCCCTTTCACTCGAACGGGGGGCCTTGGAACACCATTTTGTAGCTGCAACCCTGGGGCCCAGAGTTTGCCACTCCAAAGTGAATGGGGAGTAGACTTATAACATCTTCCAAAAAAGGCGGGCCAGCATATACTATAAAATGTTTTGTCCAACCTAAGGTATGTCTAAAATGAGTCAACCAAAAAAGGGTGGTAATTCATTTTGTAGTGCACTCACTGGTCACTGGAAGAAATGGTGCCGGGACGTTGGGCACCACCATTCTTATAATAAGTTGTTGCTCTCGCTCTCTCTCTATCACTCTCTCTCTCTCTATTCCCTCTATGCCTCTCATGAACTCCCATGAAGTCATGAAACCCTACGAGCTTCATTTGCCAATTTTTCCTGTACAAAATGCCGGTGGCCTGCGACATTACTTTAACATTCCCCAGGTTTGCCAAAAAACATATTGCTGTACAGGAAAATCTGGACCGTAACCCCTCCCTGTGGGGCAGCGCCTCATCCGCGCACACGGATTTGACTCATCTGCGCACACACATTTTGTCAGCACTTGCGCCTCATCTGCGCACACAGTTGTTGACTCAAGCGCGCACAGAGTCCACCGGGGAGACTCAAGTGCGCACACAGGCCCTTTCCCGAATGCTTACTCACTTAAAAGGGTCGTCAAGATGGAATGGCCACTTCCTTCTCTAAATTTTACCCTCCAGTGGCTCACCAAAGGGTGTCAACCTGGAATGACCACTCCCTTCTCTAAATCTGACCCCTGCCTTGCCCACAAAAGGATAAAAGGGTGGGTCAAGTTGAAATGGCAACATCCATCTCTAAATTTTACCCTCGGGTGGCTGACCAAAGGGTGAATCACATCTTTCTCTAAACTTTACCCCTGCATGGCCAACTTGAGAGGAGGGAGACACGAAAGGTAGGACAGCGGGAAGAGAAGAGAACGCGAGGGGCAGGAACAAAATGCTATGTTCGACATGGTGATTTATCCCCTCGGAGGCGACCTTTCGTAAATGTTCATATGCACTCTAAATGTTCAAACATATGCTCTCGAAATGTTCAAAAAGGTTCTTAGGAAAACAAACTTGCCCCATGGCTCAGATCATCGGTGAGCATTGAATCGGAACATCATAGGATTTGAACTATCCTGAAACCATAAGAGGCTCACGAAGACGCTCCCCAGGAGGGAATTGACGTGCTTCACAAAACAAACTCTAGGTATGTATCCCCTCGGGGAACACCTTTCGTGATTAGAATTTCATATTCACTCTTTCTAAATGTTCAAGAGGGTTTCAACTATCCTGAAATCATGAGAGGCTCACGAAGACGTTCTCCAGGAGAGAATTGATTTTAGAGGGGGGGGAGGGGGGGGGGG